GGTGGTGTGATATGGCCTAAATGTTGCAAGGCCAACGGGCATTCTAGGTGGCCAAGGGGTGTCGGGCAGGGATGACCACCTCGTGGGTGGGGGTGTGCCAGCCGGACCCACGTGTAGAGGGAGTTTCAGGTGTTCCCAAGTGCCTATTCAAGGGAGTGGGTGGGAGAGGGGAACCCACGGGGTGGGGCAAGGGGTGAAGCCAGAGGGCCGGTGAGAGGACAGCTGGGGTGTGTCCCCAGGCAGATTGGCCCTGGGAGATGGGAGTCCTGGCGTGGATGGGGGCGGCTGGTGGGATGTCACGTGGGCATTCGGGGTGTGGGCAGGCGGTCGGCTGTGCTCCCAGGTCCTGCTGGCCGGCCCCGTCTTCCGGTGTGTGTGGCGCTCCGCAGACGCCCCAGTGGAATGCAGGGCCGGCTCCACTCCCTGCCGTAATGTGTTTTTTTATAGTCGGGGGACTGATTGTCCCTCTGTCTCTGCCAGCTGTCTGTAAGCGCAGGATTAGAGGCCCAGTCTTGTGTGAGAGCCGGGGCTGGACCGGCTGAGCCCTTCACCGGGAGGGGTGGTGGCCGGGGACGGGGAGTGACTGCGGGACGCTGTGGTGAGCTGGCTCAAGACAGTGTGCGGCCTTCTCCTTGTCTGCCCGCCGGGTCCTGGGTACCAGCTTCCTCCCACCCACCCTGCTAGGAGGGCCGCCCCCATCAAGGCCCTTGGGAGCCCCCGAGCCTCCTAGGGTCTCCCCTAGGCATCGAGGTGGGCGCTGGCCTTCCCTCCATGTTCCCTCTCTGCTTCTGGTCAGTGGCAGCTCCTCTCCCAGAGAGGGACCAGAAGCTCCGTGGTGCCAGCCAGTGCCCGGGTGGGCCAGTGACCTGGGCTTGAGTCCCCTTCTTGGCTGTGTGAATGTGGACAGGTAGCTCGCCCGCTCTGGGCCTGTTTCCTCGTCTCTAAAGCAGGAATGATGCTGTTATGTCCCATGTCCCCTGGTTTGGGGGCATTGCAGGGAATGAAGCATCGTCAGCCGCAGGGTGAGGCCCCCTCACGTGACCAGGGTGGCCGCCAAGGGGCCAAGCAGCCTCACCACGCGTCAGGGCTGACCTGAGTCTCTGGACTCCGCCGTGTTCCCTGCAGGCAGAGCACGCCCAGGTGGCAAAGGTTCTCATGCCGGGTTCCCCCTCCCCGCCCTCCCACCCCATGCCAGCCCCGGCACCTACCTATGAGCTGCCTTTCTTTGGGCAACAGCAGAGACTCCGGGGCTGGCGAGATTCCTGGGTGGTGACGCCAGGCAAGGGTCCAGCCCACATGACCCAGCGTCCGTGTCGGGCACCGCCACCTGGCTGCCCATTCACGCAGCCGCAAGGAACTTCATTCACCTCGGCCGGGCTTGGGACCAGCGGGAGGCCGGAGGGGTGGCCGGGCGGCACGTGGCTCCCTGCTGACTCATTGCCGTGGCGTCTGGGGGTGGAGGCCCCGGTGCTGCCCCATGCCCTGCCCTGGTGAGGAGGGCTGGTTCCACGGGTGGTCTTTCCTGCTGCCCAGGGCCAGCCCTGGGGACGCACCACATGACCTCGGGGGGTGCCTTGACAGTGAGCTCCAGTGCCCCTCCCAAAGATGAATCAGGAAGCGGGGGAGGTTATCTAAGGTGGAATGACCGGTCACAAGAGTGATGGCCGTGTCATTTGTGGGGTGGGCACCACACCACACATTTTCCAAATATCTGAATGCAGCCGTGGGTAAGGAAACAAGGTTGGAGGTCATGCAGCATGACCGGGGTCCCAAGATGGCCGTCCTGGGATGCGACACCAACTTGAGGAGCCCAGCTCCTGTCCCCTCCAAGTGGACCTTAGAGCGCGGAGGGAGCCCAGTCTGACTGACTTCCAGGCATGCCGGAAGCTTCCATCCCCTCCGAACAGCTGGGGGTGGGGGCTGCTGGGGCCGGGTGCAGAGGGGGAAACCAAGGCTCGCAAGGCAGGGACTCAGCATGCGACGCCTGGTGGTGGAGCCTGCACGTCCCCTCACGGCCCCAGGCAAGCCTGGGAGGTGGGGGGGGGGT